ATTCCTGGCTCCCTGCTCTGCCCAGGCGGTGGGAGGGGGTGCCAGGGACGTACCCTTTCTCCTGGGGGTGGTAAAGCAGGGGGCCAGCCCAAGGAGCGGGGTGGCAGAGCTGGGTGCAAGCTCAGGAGCGTGGGGACACATGGGGGGCACATGGGGGGCACACAGGGGCACCAGCGGCAGCATGGGGCAGGCTAAGCCTGATGCCAGGGCAGGACAGAGGCACCCGGGCTGTGGATCACCACGGTGCCGGGACACAGACCCTTAGGCACAACCCGGCTGTTTTCACCCCAGAAATGGGTTCATGCCAGATAAACTCGGGCTGGGCTGAGCCGGGGTGCAGGGGCTCCCTGGGGAACAGCCCAGCTCCCCAGGGCAGGCGGGCAGGGCTGCCCAGCGCCTCCCATTGCCCTGCCACGGCTCCACCACGCTGTGGCCACTTGTGGGGTGTGGGTGGGTGCAGGGCAGAATGCAAGCCGGATCCGTAACACCCTGACTCCACCAGGCTCAAGCGGGCAGCCTAGGGGGTCCGCAAGCATAGCTGGACATGACTGCCCCGCACGTGGGCAGCGGGGCCAGGGCTGGCGTCGGGGGAGTCACGTGGCGGTCCCTTACATAAGTCCCTGATAAACAACATGTGTTACCAGTTTCCGCTAAGATTGCAAAACGCTGGCGCTGGGGGCAGAGGGCTGTTCCCCACCCTGGGGGCTGTGGGGTGCCGCGGCCACCGCACCGGGCTGCTGCTGGGGGCTGCTCCCCGCCCCTTCCCACCACCCAGCCTCTGCCGAGGAGTTGGCACCGTTGCTCAAAACAACCCGGCCCAAGCACAGGGCAGGACAGCCTCAGCCAGGCTGGATGGGCAAGGGGAGAGGGGTCCTGCAAGGGGCTGCAGCCCCTCTCCCCGGTTGCACCCCTGGTCCAAGCCCCCGCAGCCCCCTGCAGTGTGCTCAGGGCATGCAAGGCACGTCCCCTGCCTGGCTCTCCAGCCGGGTGCTGGCTGTGCAGGCAGATTTTGGGAGGCGGGCAGGGATCTGGCCCAGGCAACAGGGGTCTGCAGGGCTGGGACAGGGGAATGGGGTGTTTCACTGCCCCAAAGGCCCTGGGGAAGGGAAGCTGGACCATCACGGGGCCGAGGTTTTCTCCTCAGGGATCTCCTGACTTGTCGCCGGGGAAGGGCTGATCCTGTGCTCCCATGGCACCAAGCACCGTGCTTTTCCGCATGCTGTGCTGGGGGCTTTGGGCTTTCTCTTGCTCACCAGGTGGACTCACATGCACTACGGCACCCGAGAGTAAATCAGGAACTGTCACAACCCCATTGTTGGGGTGAGGCTTGGGGAGAGGATGATGGAGGTGCATGGAAGGGGCTATGCAGCCCCCCAGCACCCCCCCTGGCATCCTCCGGGCCAGGAGCACAGTGCCAGGGCACCAGCAGTCCTGAGATGGAGGCAGCACTGGCCTTGCTGGGGCAGATTGAGGGGTGACCTGCCTGGACACAGACTCTTCTCTGAGGCGTTTATTGGGGTGTCATTGGCTGCTGCAGGGCACCGGGGCACAGAGCAGAGGGGTGACTCAAAGCTATGGGGGGGACAGGACAAGGACAGGCATGGCTGCCAGCGCAGCTGGAGGAACCGGAGACCCCAGGGCTGGCTCCAGGGCTGTGGAGCAGCAGCAGGGTCTCAGCAAGCCCCAGCTTGGTCCTGAGGTGAGGGTGCCTGGGTGAGGCGAGGGATGAGCTCTGGGGACCTCCTGGCAACACTGCCTGCACCTACGGCTTCGTTTCT